CGAGAATCTGGATGAAATTCAAACCTGGATTTGTCTATGAATAAAAATGTAGCCCGATCATGTACAGCCAAATTTTGATATTCTTGACACCAGTTCAGTCTTGTAGCGCGATTGCCTCTCGAAAGAAGTGGACATTTGAGTGGTCATCGACTAAAGAGATTGGCTTCATGAAGACGATTTATCACACTATCTCGGCCAATAATTACGCTATCAGCCCTTGTAGGTTGCCTTCTAGCCGTTAAACTTAAAAATCTATCTTGAGCTCCAGTTGTAAAGTGTCCACGTCCTGGATGTTGCTCGGCAGGACTACCACTTTCCCTAAAACGGCTCCATAATCGACTTATGACGCATTGGGAAACATCCATCCTCTCAGTTACTTCAGTTTGCCACATGCCAGCTTCAAGAAGTCCTACCGCTCGATTCACTTCGTTTAAAGATAAATGTCGTCGTTCCCTGCTAAAACACAGTATTTTAAATGTACCTACTAAACAAGACCTTTATAAAATGACTGAATTCGAAGCAAACTAGAAAATTTATCGAAGTCTTAAGATTAAAATTCTGTTGGTATTAATTATAAATGAGTTTTTATGTTAAACATTATTTACTATTCATTATTGAATTTTATCTAAATAAAATGAAAATTAGGTATGACCAAATTTGAAAAGGTTTGTTAAATGGTGAAATTTGGTAAGAACAGTTTTGTGGTAATTTTGTATTCGACAACTACAATTTCATCATCCTGGTGAATAGTTTCTTCAGCAATAGGTTCTAGTATTTTCTTCCTTTTTTTTATTCTAACAAATTCAGTTCGGTTCAATGGTGGTTTCGTCTTTTCTTAATACTGGACAAGTATGAAGGGAGATTCGGGAATATACATGGTATTGCTTCGTTCTTTAATCTCGGCCTTTCCCTTTTTATTTTGTTAACAGTACCATTAGTTAAAATAGTCTCATAAAATTTTAAAATATCATCTTCTAAAAAGTGTAGCTCTCAAACAGAATCATAACTAGACAGTACTTTATCAGCCCTAGGAATTACATGCTGCCATTGTTCTAAACGTTTAGGATTCTATAAAAAATATTTGCAATGACTAAATTGGAGTTAAATAAAGAAAAATAACAGTAGTAACTCTTCATCTAACATCAAAAAACATAAAAAAAGCAAATTTTCTTTTCTAGTAAGTTAAATTTAATGTGTAATTATTGTTGTTTGTAAGTCAGGATTTATGACTTTATTATTTTTTATTATAGAATTTTGTAATTAAATAAACTACACTCCGTAAGATACGGATTGTGACTATTTTACAATAAATATATATTATTTCGAAATAAATACATTATTTTATTTACACTAGGGGCCTTAAAAAGACTTTGTTTTTTATTTCCTTGTGTTTTCTTTAATTTTATATCGGATTTAAATCCTGTTTTTCAACCCGCAACGAAGCAAATCCTGCTTTGCCGTTTTTTGTTACTCATTGTTACTTGTAGTCAGGTTCTTTATTTCAGTTTATTTTTATTCTTTTCACTAAATTTTACAAAAATCACTTTAATTCCCATTGACTTGCATAGAAAATAGACGTCGTTATTTTGCCACCCGCCAACTACAGTAGTTTTTTGGAACTCCATAAAAATAGGGACGGAAATTTGAAATTTGACGTCGATTCGCCTCCTTATCTCTAGTCTTCATATTCATATCATAAGTATAATACAAATACTGAAGGCTATTTTAATTGAAGACCATGTTTACTCACTGGATGAATGAATATATAAATTATTTTATAACTATTTTAGTGTTTTTACGTACCTATATGTGTATAACATTGTATTCTATTTATTTTTATATCTTTATGTTTATTGTAATGCCCATATTACAGTTGCGTGCGGTAATATTTTTGGAATGGGAAGCGATTGTATAAAAATACAGCAGGCCAGTAAGCACAGCACCGCAGGCGAAAATTTTTCGCGGCGCATTCACCATTTTGTCAAAATCTTGCTTTTTTTTCTTCAGTACTAAGGATATTCGAGATTGAGATTTTTGAAGTGTTACTATTACTTTATTACCTAGTTTAGTACTAGAAGCTATAAAAAACTTACCATTGAAAAGCTTCCTTGATTTATTTAAACGTAAAAAAAAACATTTAACTGAAGTTTTTTTTATTTTCTCCAGCATTTTTCGCACAGTTGACACAGCAGTCGACATTTATTTATACTTAAGATATATTCGCCTATCCTCAATGGCTGCAAATTTGTCTATAACATCGTTGTAAAATTTTGGATTTTCTGATAACTGTTTAACAAGCTGTTTTTCAATGGATATTAGGGCTAAATTAGAGAGTCTTCACTTGTTGAATTTCGTATAAAACTTTTAATTCGCTTTAAAGCTGAAAAACTTCGCTCAACTGACGCACTTGTGACTGGGATGGTTAGTACTAATTCACACAACTTGACGACTTCACAAAGGGACTTGTTTAAACCAGTTGTTATAAGAAAATTTAACAAATTGATGGGCGTCTTTTTATCACTAATTTCAGTTAACTGGGACTTTAATGCTGGAATATCGAAAAATATTTCATAATTTTATTTTAGTGAATTAAAAGCTTCCGATGGAAATTTAATATTAAATTGCACAATTCAACAAATTTTAATTTGTTAAAGTATTGAAATCGAGAGTTCATTTGTTGTAGAATATTATCAAAAATTTCGGCGTATAATCGATGATAGGAGGTCTCTCTGTCGCCAAAATTATCAATTCTAATTCTCTTTCTTTCAGGTTCTAAGCCAATGTTTTGAGTCTTATTCCAAAAGTGTTCAAACTGATCTCGTTTTTTATTTATTTTATTTTTAAAATCATCAATTTGTTTAATGCAAAAGCCAATGTCATTTGACTTTGCCTGTAAAATGTCCAATAAAATGTCAGTAAAAGGGAAAATCTCTGCAAAAATGTTGAGCAAAAAATTGAAATCAAAGTTTTGTTTGAGCCAATGCAAATACCCTTTAGCAGCAGTAACAGTTTCAGCATCCCATGTTTCTTTATTATCCCAAACGTCTTGAAAAAAGTTTATCAAAGAATCACGGTATTGAAACACTGTTTGCACTAAACGTCCATTGTAGTTCCATCGCGTCGGAGCAACTTTTGGAAATCTTCTTTGAACGTGAACGTCCAAAGCGCGAGTTCTAAAAGGAAGCCAAACCACTAAGTGTCGAAAAGAAAACTTTGCAATCTTTAATATTATCCATGCTTCGCGATAAAACCAAATTAAGTTTATGTGTTATACAGTGAACGAAAATTGCATGTTTAAACTTTTCTTTCACTTTAGCTTGAAGGCCTCCTAAATGGCCAGCCATTACGGCAGCACCATCGTAGCTCTGGGCAACAAGGTTAGAACCACATTCTAAACTTGAAATAATGTTAAACAATGCATCTGCAGTTCGTTCGCTAGTGACGTCCAAAAATCCTAAGAATCGCTCTTGAGGAATGCCATCCAATACATATCGCACAACAATGGATAATTGACTTAAGTTTGCTACATCTGTGGTTTCATCAAGCGCAATTGATACGAAAGGTGCTTTTTTAATTTCACTTCAATGTGATCCATCACAACGTCGGCAGTGCATTTAATTAAATCATTTTGGATTCTGTTTGAGGTACCTCGGAAAGTCGTCGAATCAATAAAATGATTTTTTAGGGTATCATTGTATTTTGCTAAAAAACTTAGAAGGTCCATGTAATTTCCTCGATTGGCGGATCCACTTGCTTCACTATGACCCCTAAAACTTAGTTCATGCTCTCCCAGGAAACAAGTTACATCTATTAATCGTTGTAAGACGTCCCTATTTTTTTTACCCTTTCATTGTGAATTTTGTTGCTTATTTTTAAATGATTGTCCAAACTATGTTCAATGCGATAGGTCCCGAATGTTTTTCTTTATATGAGATTTGCTATTTACATGTTTTTTTACACTTTTGTGAAAATTATTCAAGTCTGTAATACCGACTGAGTTCCAATGTGTTTTTTCGACTATATTAAAAAGCAGGCAAGGCCAGCAAAACAATGTCTTCAAAGTTTTGCTGCCAGTTAACCATTCATACTTTTCATAGAACCCTACGTGAAAATGCTTAGTAAATTTCTTTGCTGATTTTTCTACTTTCGTCTCTAAATTGATAGGATCCTTTAGTCTATTAGAATTAATAGCTTCCGTTTTCTCTTCAAAATTTCATCTTGAAAATCCTTTTTTCAATAAAGATCACACAATACAGACACAATTTACCACATTATTATTGTTCACAGGCACAGTGCATAGTTCCTCCATTTTACAAAAAAAAAAACAACTACGAAAAACAAACCGAAATCTACCTAAAATCTAAGATTTTCCTCATACGTCGATTCGCGGTGCGAATTGCAATATGCGTAAGGCGACGTAATAATCGCTGCCTCTCGACCGTATTTCACGTGCCCAAACAGACTGACACTGTCGCTGCAAAGCAGGGTCAATAACACTAAGCGAAATCACTTGCAAGATGAACCGGTTATTTCAAGACGCGCTTCCGCTGACGGACTCGTGTGTACGTTTACACAATTAATTTTCTCATGGGTAGTGCGTGCGTTTACACACCAATGAATTGTTAATACATTTACGAAGTTTACGTAATGTTTCAGAGAAAATATAGTACCTAATTTAATATTAATTTCTATGCATTGTAAACTTAAAAATATTTATTTTTAAATTTCAAAGTGTAAATTAATTTAGTTATTAATATAAAACTACTTTTATGACCTGTCTCTTGTCATTATAAGACGATCTAAGAGAATAATAAAAATATCTACCGATCTATCTTTACAACTATATTACTTTTATTTCATACTAGCCAAAATTTCTCCTTTAATAATCTTTAACTATGCATTAAAATGCATTCTTCTAGCGTGATTATACTTCAATACATTTTAATCTTTTTTTATCGTTATATTTACGATTCCAATAACATCGTTATTTATATTTCAAGGTGCAACTCACACTACTGCCGTCCCAGTATTAGATGGTTACGTCATAACCAACGCGGTCGTAAAATCTCCACTAGGCGGCGACCTGCTGATTCTCAGAGCCAGAGAAATGTTGGAAAGTATGGGTATTGATTTAACTCCAACACCACTAATAGCTAGCAAAGAAATCGGTCGCGAAAAGGAGAAACCTAAATTCACCACAAAGAAGTTGCTGTTTCAACCTACCAATTCTTGGACGACTTACATGATCAAAAGGACTGTTCAGGATTTTCAACAGACAGTTTTGCAGGTTTGTTACTATATTCGTACGAATCATCAACTCTTACATTCTAATTTTCTTCTTGGCGAAATATTTTAGGTCTCTGAGAATCCGTATGACGAGAGGTCAACGGCCAATATTCCTACAATTCACTATGAGTTTCCAACTGGATACCATCAAGATTTTGGTTCAGAACGATTTAAATTAGCAGAAGGACTGTTCGATCATGCCATGCTTGGGGCAGGTTATATAGGTAATCTTTAACATGTTTTAATAATGATAAAACTATGTATAAATGCTTTCATATCTCTTATAGTCTATATTTTGTATGGATTATAATCTTAGAATTTATTTTTAGCTGCAACCAGTGCAGGCATGTGTGATGTCGATATTAGACCTGCCCTATACAGTTCAGTTGTACTAACTGGTGGTAATTCATTGGTACAGGTAAATATGTTTCCACTTAAAATTCTTAACACCTCTATAATACTCAGTGAAGTTTTTCCTACTTTATTTTGCTGCCAATTTTAGTTGCTGCAAGTTTTTCTATGATTGTCCTTTTTTTGCTTTTTTTTTCCCTATTAATTCTGCTAATTTAGTAATAGTACTAGTACTACAAAGTTGTAAGAAATAAAAAAAAAATACATTAACATTTTTTTCAGGGTTTCAGTGACAGACTAAGCAGAGACCTGTCTTCAAGAACGCCTGGTTCGATGAGACTCAAGATGATAGCTGCCAATGGTACGGTGGAACGTAGGTTTGGTGCTTGGGTTGGCGGATCTATTTTAGCTTCTATCGGTACCTTCCAACAGATGTGGGTGTCCATGCAAGAGTACCAAGAAATTGGTAAAACTCAGATTGATCGAAAGTGCCCTTAAGACAAATATTTTAATTTTAAAATTTGCTATTTTTATACTAGTGAATAAGTATTAAATGTATAATTATTTTATGTTTTTTTATTTTATTATTCCTTGCGTTATGTTGTTAATAGCAAAATAGTATATTCAAATTTCCCTACCTAATGAAAACACTATAAATAAATACTTATTTGAAGTAAGTGATGTAGTTTTAAGATAAGCGCGGATTTGTGTGTTTAAAAGAGTTCATGCGTCATTCGGAAATAGTTATTGGAAAAATTTGCCTTATGATGTTTTAAATCACTAAACAAAGTATGAAATTGTTCATAAAGCTTCCGATTCAAAATTATATTATGTACCTAAACCCGTTTTTTTTTTCTCTGCATTCTTCATCTTCAAATACACATATAATTTCAAATAATTCTTTCAGAATTATACAAACATACATACATAAATATGCCATGTCAACAAAAAAAGTACGATGCGGCTGATATGTACAAATGCGCGCTTACCTTTATTGTTTAGTTGTGTCATAAACCGTAACCTTCGTGATATAGAGGCCTGAACTGTTTGACAGATGCGGCAGTGTGACGTCACGTACAAAAGTTATCATCTCATAAGATTGCGGTATTCTGTTTGACAAAATCAAATTAAAAACTCCGTTGTGTGATTAAAGTCTTGTCAAGTGTTTGTTAATTAAGTAGTTTTTACACTTGTGCATACAGTCTTACATAATTTCTCTATTCGAGATATTTTAGTAAAAGTACAAATTTTGTAGATAAGAGAAAAACGCCAAATTTTAAACTTAAGGTTTATTCCGACCTACGGTGAGATGATTAGATTTTGGGTATAGTCGCAACTCGCAACATCTGGGGGTCGTTTTTTATTTTATGAAATATATCTGTTATATACGCTTGAAGAAAAAAATTATTTAAATAAAAGTTGCTTGAATTATTATTCTCTACAATTTTGGCCCTATACAAAATTTCCTAAAATGGCCCGTATTCGAGAAAATTGACAAAAAGTGAAAACATCAAATTTTTACGAAAATTGTTCAAATAAAAGTCGTTTGTGATCTCATTCTCTATAATTCTTGTCCAATGCATAATTTCTCTAAAATGGACTGTATTCGAGAAATTTGAAAAAATCTGATGTGTCCAACACATGACTTTCCTATCTAGTTATTACATGCTCTTTTCGGTTATTTTGTACAACCTATTGTAGCACCTCTGTAAATGTTTAGAAGAGGTTAACTTAATATATACATTTTTCCATATACATCTAACTCGAAACATTTTTCTATATACATCCATTCACAACGAAAATATTGAAAAATTTAAATTTCTTAGTTTTCCTCCAATTTTTCCATTACGATCCATTTTAGAGAAATCATCATGTAAAAAACAAAAATTATTGACATCGATATCGCAAACATCTTTTAGTTTAACAATTTTCTTAAAAGTCTGAATTTTTTACATTTTGTAAAATTTCTGGAATACGGTCCATTTTAGGAAAAATTTTTATAGAACAAAAATTATAGAGAATAATAGTAAAATAACTTTTATTTTAAAAATTTTCTTCTTCAAATGTAAATAACAGATATATTTAATAAAATATAAAAATTACCTCCTCTAAATTACCCCCCAGAGATGTTCCGATTCTGTCCAAAATCTAATCAGTTCACCTCAGGTCGGAATAAAGCATAAGTTTAAAATTTAAGGTTTTTTCCGTTTTTGAGTGTTGTTCTTCAAAATTCAAAATTTACACTTTTTTACAAATCTCTCGAACACGGTCCATTTTAGAGAAATTATGTATAGAGCAAGAATTATAGAAAATTATATCGTAAACAACTTTTATTTGAACAATTTTCTTAAAAATTTTAATTTTTTACAATTTGTAAAATTTCTCGAATACGGACCAATTAAGGAAAATTTTGTATAGTACAAAAATTATAGAGAATAATATAAGAAGTAACATTTATATGAACAATTTTCTTCACCAAACATAAATAACTGATATATTCCAAAAAATATAAAAATGACTTCCTATACCCAGCAAACATTTTGGTGTAATTTGACGTCGATACTACCTAAATTATATATAATAAATTTGGTCGCAAAATTAGATTTAACCATAATTATGTAAAATTTACGTTGGCTCGACGTGGATTCGACATAAGTGGAGAATAAGACGACGTCGAAATTTGGTTTTATTTACCAAAATATGTAGAATTACATCTAAATCCACATTGTAGTAGCCCAGTACGTTTGGTTAGTAATACCTCTCTAGGGAAATTTGACGTCAGTATAACGTTAATTCGACGTTGATTTAACTAAGTTTAGGTAGAAACTACCAAAATATTTGTAGATGACGTATGCCTCCAAGTGTACGAAAAGAAATTTTATACTTATTTGGTATTTTTATCTATATATAAGTAGAAATATTGTAAGAAGTCACCAACACAACTAAAACATATACCTAATTCACATGAAAGATTGAAAATAAATAAATGTCGGTGACAAAAATATATGTAATGTAATTGCGGTGAATATACAGTTCACGCTTGTTGAAATTAATGCGAAGAAAATTTTGTCGTGCATGTTAACAGTTCTACTTAGAAAAATAACAATGCCCTTCCAAAATACTCTCTAATTAAACAAATATAAGAAAAAAATATGATCGTGTAAAATAATAATAATAATAATATTATGAGCTAAAACTATGTTACGTTTGTTGTGTATCACTTTAGAAAATCAATAATGTTTCGTTTTTCGGTATTTTCATTCGTATGTTCTAGATATGGTCATTTTAAAAATTTAAAATTTGGAATCGTACTTCAATTATGTTAAGAAAATATGGCGTATTGTGCGAATTCGACCTAAAAGTTATTATGACTAAGGAAATCCACGTATTTTACAAATACCTTTTTATTAAGTTGAATTAACTTCAATTTCATGACATATTAGTTAACTTTACCTATTTAAAGAAATAATAACTTATAGGTTTTATAAAAAATTTACCTATAGGTAAATATAACATATTTAGGTCACGTTGTTCTGTACTTGAGATTTTAGACGTTTCACTTTACGATAAAAATCGGAAGTATAACGATATGATTTATTATTTTTCGAACTCATTTTATTAATTATTTTTCGCACTCATTTAAAGCTCTATCTACACCACACGTAAATTAAGATTACGACTGTAATGTTTTTTTTTTAAATGGCCGAAATTCTTAAGAATAATGACGAAGACAGTAACTGAACAACCTAATTGTTAAAATAACCTAAATAATATAAATTTTACAAATAGGTCATGTATGACTCTTTTTAAATTGGTGGTTTTTAGTCGAATTTACTTTGTGGTAGATTTTTCAGGTAATTGCTACAACAAAGTTAATAAATATTTCTTCAAGATGACTTATAGGTCAACTAAATGAGTATTCGACTATTTGGTTGAAATTAGGTAGATAAACAGGTAGAATTTTGGTACGATCTCGACTTAATATTACTTTAAAGGAGAGTAAATAAAAGCGGCCAAATAGGTTACTATGGAGGCATAAAATTACGTAGAATTTTTAACCAAATCTACCTAGTTGGATATTCTACTATAAAGACGATTTTTAGTTGCTAAACAGGTAGATATTACCTAAATATGGCACCTAATTTAACTATAAAGAAAATTTAACTTTGAAATAATTGTTGGTTATTTTTTGTAGTAGTTTTTCCCTTGCTGATATGGTTAAAGTTACTTTTAAGCAGATTTGTGTAAAAAGTAGATTTCTTGGTATAATTTACGTAAATTTAAATATAAATTAAAACCATTTGGTAAATTTACATTAGAGGTATATTTTTCTAGTCAATTTTACGTAATAATTACCTCAATAAGTAAATTCGTCTTTAACAAAGTCGAGTTATAACTAATGTTATAGAAAATGTTTGCTGGGTAAAGTACAGATGTTCCGACTCTGCCCAAAATCTAATCAGTTTATCTCAGGCCGGAATAAAGCTTAAGTTTAAAATTTAATGGTTTTTTCTTTATAGACCAGAGCATACTGGCGCATTCGTTTGCAAAATTGTTTTAATTCGTAATTTTTTTTTAAATGTCCGAAAAGCTTTCCTGATTATAAAAGTGTATTTGCATTTTTGCAATGAATTAATTTTTTTATATTCTTTAGGATATTTCGAATAAAAAAAGTCCTTACGCCCATCATCGTATCTTTAACCCTTTAATTGTTATGAATGTTTTAAAATCCGAAATTGACGAAAATTCAAATTTTCTTGAATTAAATAATATACCTTAAAATTTAAAATGCTATCATTTTAGATTTTTTACCGAATATTCAAAGTATAATAAACAAAATAACCTAAATAAATTTTAAAAATTTTGTTTATGTTTTTTTTACGTTATAACAATATTCTTCCTACGCGCGTGTACTTTTAGAGAGAAGTACTTCTATCTCACTTCCAACTCAATGTATAAGATGGGTAAGAGAAAGCCCGATGACGCGCTAAATCAATTTTTTGCTGTTTTTCAGCGGTAATAGGTTCAAAAAAATTATTAACATTTTTCATAACACTTTCTTATATTAGTTTTATATCATGTGATTTTTTTTACTTTTTTTTTACTTTTATATCATGTGATTTTTTTATTCATTGAAGTTAATAGAAATGTTCCATCCACAAAAAAAAATCATTGCCAAGAGCTGTCTAAGAAATACATTTTTCTCACTTATTTTCTAATAAGATAAAAGAAAAACATACCTGCCGTAATTCAAGGAAAATTTCTACCTGTTACGATGAGCATAGTTTACTCACCTGGTTTTTATTTTAAAACAGAGTACGCAATATATATGTATTCAATTTTTTCTATGGTTGTTAATTCTTTTCCACTATGATTATTTAATAGTAATATCATTTATTAAGAAAATGTTTACATAAAATTAGTTTGTACATCTAACTAGTTTTTACATGAAATCGATTTTGGCAACATTCAATTAAACATCCGCATAATGCCACACACGTCATGTTTAGTTTTTGACACGAACAAGCTTTCGTTGCACAATTTTTTTTACAGTTGCACGGTTTTGCTAAGTAATGGCGGTTTTGTTAAATACAGTGGCTTTATTTGGTTATCACAGAAAACATAACCAAAACCAGAGAAATCTAAAGATCACGACAAGTGCATTTGGACTTTTTATCGTATTGAAATTAAAAAGGTTGAAAAAGATTTTACTTCTCAGGCAGTATCTGACAATAATTTTTTCATGAATAAAAATAAATGTTTCTGTTAACTTTAATAAATAAAAAAGTTATCAAAAGTATCTAAAAAGGTAAAAAAAAATCACATGATACAAAACTATTAATCGGCAAATATAACAAAGTGTTATGAAAAATGTTAATAATAATTTTTTTAAACTTATTACCTCTGAAAAACAGCAAAAAATTGATTCAGCGCGTCATCGGGCTTTCTCCTACCCATCTTATACATTGAGTTGGAAGTGAGATAGAAGTACTTCTCTCTAAAAGTACATGCGCGTAGGAAGCATATTGTTATAACGTAAAAAAAACATAACAAACAAAATTTTGAAAATTTATTTAGGTTATTTTGTTTATTATAGTTTGAATATTTGGTAAAACATTTAAAATTATAGCATTTTAAATTTTAAGGTATATTATTTAATTCAAGAAAATTTTAATTTTCGTCAATTTCGGATTTTAAAACATGCATAACAATTAAAGGGTTAAAGATACGATATTGGGCGTAGGGATTTTTTTTTATTCGAAATATCCTAAAGAATATAAAAAAAATTAATTCATTGCAAAAAATGTATTTTTTTCTGGCTTAATTAATTTTTCGTTGTTTAAACAATAACATCAACAGATATCGAGTGTCATCTTACACTTTTATAATCAGGAAAGCCTTCCGGACATTTAAAAAAAAATTACGAATTAAAACAATTTTGCAAACGAATGCCCTGCACTATTATCCGTTTTTGAGTTTTCTTTAAAATTTACACTTTCTCTGAAATATCTCGAATACGGTCCATTTTAGAGAAATTATGTATAGGACAAGAATTATAGAAAATTATATCACAAATAACTTTTACTTGAACAATTTTCATCAAAAATTGAGTTTTATACATTTTAACAAATTTCTCGAATACGGTCCATTTTAGGAAAATTTTGTATGGAACAAAAATTATAGATAATATTAGAAGTAACTTTTATTTAAAGATTTTTCTTCTCCAAACGTAAATAACATATATTTCATAAAATGACCCTCTATAAAGTTCCCCCCCCCCCCCCCCAGATGTTCCGACTCTGTCCAAATATGCTCTAATCAGTTCATCGCAGGCCAGATTAAAGCTTAAGTTTAAAATTTTGTGTTTTTTCTTTGTATCCGTTCATGAGTTTTCGTGGATACACACACGCGCAGGCACGTACACACATACGCGCGCGCGCGCACACACACACACACACATAAAGATAGGAAAGTAAAAAAGTACAAATTTTTAATTTTAAAGATAATTCAAAAACGGAACAAAAGAAAAACACCAAATTTTAAATTTAAGCTTTAGTCCGTCCTGCAATATACTGATTAAATTTTGAGCATAGTCGGAACATCTGGAGGGGTACTTTTCTACTTTATGGAATATATCTGTTATTTACGCTTGGAGAAGAAAATTATTTAAATAAAAAGTTGCTTGTAATGTTAATATCTATAATTTTTGTTATTTACATAATTTTCCTAAAATGGCCGTATTCGAGAAATTTGACAAAATTTGCTAAATTCTAATTTTTAAGAAAATTGTTAAAATAAAAGTTGTTGCGATATCATTCTCTATAATTTTTATTCTATATATAATTTCTCTAAAATGGGCCGTAATGGAAAAATTTGAGGAAAAGTATAAAATTTTAATTTTTCTGTATTTTCGTTGACAATGAATATTTACAGGGGTGATATAATAGGTTGTACAAAACAAGTATTACAAATTAAAAATTTAAAAAAACCGACTTCAAAAACGTGCAGATGCCATTGCCACATTTTAACCAAATTTATATGGGACCACCTCTGAGGTACCCCCTTACTAACAAAAAAGAATCGTATAAATCGGTCAAGGTGGTAAAGCATTATCGCTAAACATACATAAAAAATGAAGACTTTGAGGATTTTCTCATGGATCCAATTATTAGATTTTGACCAAATTTATATGGGACTACCCCTAAAGTAGCCCCTTTCTAACAAAAAAAGAATTATTGAAATCGGACACCGTGTTAAAAAATTATCGCTGAACATACATAAAAAATTAAGAGTTTGAGGATTTTCTAATGGACCCAATTATTAGATTTTGACTAAATTTATATGGGACCACCCCTGAAACACCCCCTTTCTAACAAAAAAAGAATCATTATAATCGGACACCGTGTTAAAGAATAACGCTGAACATACATAAAAAAAAAAAATATCGCGACGAATTGATAACCTCCTCCTTTTTTGAAGTCGGTTAATAATCGGAAAAAGCCCTTAATAACCAGACAGGAAAGTCATGTGTTGGACACATCAGATTTTTTTTTTGTCAATTTACAATAAAAACAAATCGACTTATACCTACTAAACATAACCCTTATAACTTGCCGTTTCTCTCTAATAAAATTTATTTGAAATCTCCGTTGTGTGCTTTAAGTCTTGTACATTGTTTGTGAAATTGATTTAAATAGTTTTTAGCCTTTTTAACAGACTACAAAAAAGGAAGAGGTTCTCAATTCGTCGCGATATTTTTTTTTATGTATGTTCAGCGATAATTCTTTAACACGGTGTCTGATTTTAATAATTCTTTTTTTGTTGAAAAGGGGGTACTTCAGGGGTGGTCCATATAAATTTGTTTAAAATCTAATAATTGAGTTCATGAGAAAATCCTCAAACTCTTCACTTTTTTATGTATGTTTAGCGATAATGCTTTACCACCTTGTCCGATTTATATATGATTCTTTTTTTGCTAGTAAGGGGGTACCTCAGGGGTGGTCCCATATAAATTTGGTTAAGATGTGGTGATGGCATCTGCACGTTTTTGATGTCGGTTTGTTTAAATTTTTAAACTGTGAAACTTACAACTCGGCTGCTGATAGCCAGTGTAACAATACGGGTTTTTATAAATTTGTTACAGAAGATGTACCTAGGTGGTTCATAATACAAGGTTAATCAAACAACAAAAATATTTTTTGTTAAAATATAAATAATAATATGCTGAAACATCATATCTGATCGTTACATATTATAAAACCAAAGTACCTTTTCGTTTAAACTCACTCATGGCCACTCCAAGTTTGAGTATTATAAATCCGCTTGAATATAAAAAACAAGTATAGAAAATATTTTTTAAAAACCTAGTTTTTTATTGTGTAAATTTAATACACAAACAAATTGACTATATTAAACAACCCCTGAATTTTCTGTTTCTTTCTAATAAAATTTGGTTTATAACTCTGCTGTGGGTTTTAAGTGTGTACATTCGCTGTTTTCTGTTAGATGAAATTATTTTAAAAGATAAATTACAGTGTTTACCGCCTTTTTGTTATTGTGAAAGCTATAAAAATGCCGCGGTGTTGTGTCTCTAGATGTGAGCAACTATAAAAATTCCACCTCGATCTGACCTTTTAAGCTATTGCATAGCTTTTATCGCGGGCTTTGAGCGCGGCGACCGAATCAAGAAAAAAACGAAAGCGTAACGAAAAAAAAAACCTAACACCCCCACTCCGACCGGCACAGCAGTGCGTCGTTAAACAATATTATTTATTCAATAAAAAAAAATCGAAAAAGAAATTCCGTAACGAAAATAAACCTAACACCCCCAACTCCGACCGGCACAGCGGTGCGGCGTTGAAAGCCGTGCATCGTCTAACGTCGTTTCAGTTCGGCACACTTCGGCACGGTGTTTGTGTGCGTGCGACTAGACGTATGCGTGTAGATTAGCGGCAAGCGTCTCTCTACTTGTAGCCCTTTCTGAGGGCTATGCTCCCTCTTCCTTTTAGAATGTTCTAAGGACCGATTCCACCGTTGTGTTAAACGAAGTTTAAAATATCATTTTTACATCAACAATGTCATTTTAATCTCCGTTTAACACAACGGTGGAATCGGCCCTAAGCTCCCTACTAATTATCCTTCCTCCATGCTCCCTACCTTCTAACTCCATGCTTCAAACAAATCCAGACCGTTACTTATCTATATTGCATTTGTTTATCTGAGAGTCTAAGATTCTCAAACAACAACATAACCTTATTTTTTTATAAACAAAATATAAAAATGATTTTTTATTCTTTAAATAATGGATGATGAGGTGGATACTATTGAAGATTTTTACGGTGTTTACTTGCTGTACTGTTTAAATCCGAAATATAAAGGCAGAACTTATATCGGCTATACAGTAGATCCAAATCGTCGAATAAAACAACACAACAAGGGCAAAGAATTCGGTGGAGCTAGGAAAACCAGCAATAGAGGCCCATGGTAAGTTTAGTTAAGCAATCAGATATAATCAACATATAATTTTGTTACTTTTCCTAAGGTCCATGATAATGATAATACATGGTTTTCCCAATGATATCTCTGCTCTAAGAGTGAGTATTTAACTATATTTTTTTAATTTAACATATTAAGTAATATAAACTATTTATAGTTTGAATGGGCTTGGCAACATCCACTCGTTTCTAGAAGATTAAAACATGTTTCAAAAAAGAAAAATAATGAAAAGCAGTTCAATTTCTGTCTGAGGGTATTATCAGAGATGCTGAAAATTGGACCTTGGTGCAGATTGCCACTTAATATTCGATGGTTAAATTCAGAATTCGTCACTGATTTTCCAGTAAGTACTAATATTTACTTTAGTTTCAGTAAGAATAAAAAATGTGTGATCCTTCTTGAATATATTAATATATTTTAGATCCAATCACTACCTCCTCTCCATATGTCCATTTGTCATGGTCCGGTGCTTAGCAAAAAGATTGAGAGGACAAAGTCTTCTGAATCCAATACTTTACCCATAAATTTTTCTAAAATATGTGATGTTTGTCAAAAAGTTATAACAGGAAAAGAACTGCAGTGTCTTAATTGGATCTGTGATCTCAAAGCCCATATAACTTGCTTATCAAATTTGTTTTTAAATCTTGATGAGTATGTGCCCATACAAGGGAAGTGTCCAAAATGTGGACAAGAACTTTTATGGGGCGATATCATTAGGAAATTCAAAGGCTGTAATAACAATTTTGACCTGACTATTAATGTAAAAGATGGAAACGATTTTTACTCATCCGATTCTGATTGATTTATTTATTGATAACGATTAATTATTGTATTATTTTTTAATAGTAATTGTGTAATGGGTAATTTAATTTTGTAGAGGATTATATTATATACTATTATAACAGGATATAAACAGACTTATGATACATCAATTTTATACATGTGTGTGTTGACATCACCACAGAACCTAAACACGTTTGCGTTTGTCTTAATATGGGTAGGTACCTACAACGATGTTATAGAAAAGAACAGTTTAGAAACGTTAAAATGTGGAAACTATGCAGTGTTTATTTAAAAGAAGAGTACTTTATACAGGTGACATTCGGACTTAAATGATGAGCACTAAAATTAAAGATTATAATGGTAAGATCTTAGAATATTATATTTCAATTATTCAAAATTCATAATAAGCTTTGTCTACCCTGCCTACAGATGAGATGGTTTCTAGCAAGCCTGAGACACAACCAAGACACTTTCAAATATTTTATTTAAATAATATAATTTTAAATTATCCTTTTTTTCTATGTGCACATCTCAACCTAAATTTAAATAAAATGTAATCTCTTATAAATTATTATAAATATGTATTAGCCACTATTTTAATTAATTATATATTCTTTTTACACTGTTTTATCTTTTATTTACATAAATTGCTTTCTGGTATTTGGATTTGTCACTTTGGAAATAAAGATTATTACATTGAGTGATCCACAATAAAATAATTATTAATTGGGTCTAGCAAAATTCACCTTTGTTGAAGCATATAATTTTTATTAATGTCAGTAAGAGCTTGTGTACTTATTACGGACATGACTATTATCTCTGTTATAAAGACTAAAGAGTAGGTGAATCATCAAATTTCCATCCTTCTTTTTTTAAAGTCCGCCAAATTGACTAGTTAGCGGGTCGCCGTAACTGAGGTTAATTTTCTGTGAGTCAATGTGAAATAAGTTTTTTTTTAAATTGATGAAAAGAGTCAAAATAATGTGAAAAATGTACCCAAGTACAAGTAACATGAGTGACAAAAAACACCAAAGCAAGATGTATTTCATTCCAAGTTGTAAAACGGGATACAAAAAATATATGTAAAATTAAAGAAAACACAAGGAGAAATAATTTCAAAGTCTCTTTAAAGCTTTTAATGTAAGTAAAATAATGTGTTTCTAAATATAATATTTATTGTAAACTAGTCATAACCCGTATCTTATGGAGTGTAGTTTATTTTGTTACAAACTATAATATAACATTTTACAGTCATAAATCCTGACTTACAAACAACGATAATTACAACAGTGGCAGCATATCATTTCTTAGGCGGATAAAGCACTTTCTAGAGATGATGCTGTCTGCAGGCTACACTTTTTAGAAGATATTTCCAAATATTATTTTTATTGATGGTACTGTTAGCAGAATAAAAAGAAGGCCAAGAAGGGCAATACCATGTATATTCCCGAATCTCCCTTTATACTTGTATTATAACAAAAAAAAATCTGTAAATTGTGTTTTATTTTGCTCTTTACTCTATATTTAGAAATAATTTTAAAAAAATTAGCCACTAAATTGTACGTACCAAATATTACTTTTAACAAACCTTTTCGAATTTGGTCATACCTAATTTGCATTTTATATAGATAAAATTAAATAATGAATAGTAAATAATACAGTATGTTGTGCTTTATTTAGCAATAAACAAGTTTTTTTATTATTATTTTCACTAAATTATGTGAAATTTTCATAAATGTCATGTATTTTTAAAATCACTTATAGCACCAGCACCCCTGCGTGAATTGTAAATACTCAATTAGTGTTCGTTTTTTGAGATCTTATTTCGGGCATGCCAATATGTCTCCTTCTCTCTAGTCTTCATAATCTCTGAATTTGTCAGACATGGCCTACTTTAGACACTTTTTGATAAATCACTATAATAAAACTAGGTTGTTTTATTTTATTTCTACTTAACATTAAATTACTAGGAACTGACTACTAGAAAGTATATGAGTGTTAGTTCATTTATATGCATTTTTAAATTGTACGTCAAATAAATAAATAAAAAAAAAGCTCTAGTATAACAAATCATTTAAAAACTAACAGTATTTAAACAGTACTTTCGAGAAATATTCGTGAGCATGATTGGTAGCTGCGGACTCTGCCACAGTATAGTCTATTCACTGTAGATATACCCAAACTTGGATTTTCATTCAAGGGCGTGCTCAGCCAAGCATGGATAAATATGGATCCAATAGTGCCAAATAAACTAAATAGTCTCAATATCGAATAAAAAAACACTTTAACAAAACAATGTTTTATATTATTTGAAATTTGAATTCATTGGATAGAGAACAATAAATGTACAAAAATTATAGTATTCAACTCACAATACTAGTATTTAAATTTGCTTAGAACATACATTCTAATAAGTAGTACTATTCATTTAATAATTATATGAATTGATCCACAAAAAAATGTTTCTAAAGTAGTCCATGGAAAAATCAAGTGTGCAATTCTTTTTAAGCGTAATTTTGAACTTAATTCATTTCTGTGTCCATTAGTAGTTATCACCGACATGACTCATCTGTCTTTGTCAGTCATGGCCTACGTTAGAAACATTTTTATTTTTATTATTTCACAATAAAAGTTAAAAACAGTTGGAGTGTTTCAGTACATGTAACGAAAAAAATATCACTCCACTTCAACGTTCGTTAACAATGATATGTCCAACATGCAGAATGTAGCCCGACACATGGGACAAGTACACTTGGATGAAAGCCAAGTGTTCTCACGCTCGCTGTCCTGCCTGGATGCAAACCATTTGGCCATACAGTCACTGCACCACATAGGGCGGCAGTAGCAATTCGTACATTTGGTTTGATCAGTTGAAGTGTCTTCACACAGCTTGTTCAGTTTTATGTTTGATTCAACTTGCATACAACCGATACATTTTTCTAAAACCTGGACCAAATTATAAATGTAGATTATGAATATTTATTTATCTGTAATACATACCTCGTTATTTTCATATCTAGGATTATTTTCAATTGTTTCTTTAAATATGTCAACAAACTGTTCCACCTTGGTTTGATGAAATTTGACATTTGGCAATATGGTAATAGTTCTAGCAATTCTGTCTTTCAGATCTTTAAAATCACTTGCATTGATCCTAATTATAAATGACTCAACACCCTGTCTGCTTGATTTGACTTCTATATTCAAATATTGAGTAGTAGAAAGATTGTTAGGAGATAATTCAAAAGAATTCGCTTCTTTTACTATCAGAGTTCCATCACTCTGATGGATAATGTTCAATGTAAGTGGGGAAACTTTTAGAATCCAGTTTTCTGTAACTATTATTGTTACAACTGAGCTGGTTTGTAGGCAGATTTTATCAATACTAGAATATAAATATGGTTTCAATAAATTAAGTTTATTAAATGGGCAGACAATCTTGTATAATTATAAAATTGGTCATAATAGTCGTTTACCTTCTAAACTCGATATCAATACTTCTTGCTACAAATTTCCAATCCACATTGTTATTACAAAACTTTGAAACATTTTTAGCTATTGGATGTTGTTCAAAATTATTTCTGGACCAATTCAATATTTGATAAATACTCAAAAGTGGTAGCACTATAGCAAATGTGTAAAAACAACTTGACAACAACGGAAATGATGAGTACATATCGCTAATCTAAAAGATGATAAAATTCATACAAACTAAATATGGAATAAATGTTAAACAAATTAGTAAATTAATTTAGTAGAAACTTACAAGGTCTGCAAAGCCTAACAAATAAGAAACAATTACATATCCTATTGGCAACAAAGAATAAAACATAAGGAATAAACATGATTTTCTTATGTTGTACAAAATAAACTCTTCATGTTGATTTCCTAAAACGCCGCTAAATATATTTTGTAGGGTTATTCCAGCAGTTAAAAACTCAGTAGGGGGATAAATTAGGCAAATGCAAAGTAAAAAATAAGATACAGTAAAAATAAAATCTGGTGACATCTTTAATATTTATAAATTAAAATAAATAAATAAATAAATAGGGTTAATGTCTTCTTCTTCTTCTTCCTTTTTTTGGTCTATGTCCATGAGACAATATAGAACAGAAGTAAAAGTTGGAAATGCTTTTGCCAGTTCTCCCACTTTATACACATAAATTGACAGGTTGTCAGCGGATCTCACCGAAGTGGACACGATACATTGGCGTACAAAATTATTTTATAGATGTTAATAACAATTTCGAGTAAATAGTTTAATAAATTGTGAATAGCTGTTGAAATTTTGTAAAATTATAATTTGAATATTATAATACATGTTTAATAATTATTTATAATCCATAAATACATGCGATTGTCCGGTTCCGCCGATAACAATTTAAAATTACTTATTCTATGAAACGACACTGGCAGGTAAACATTACTGTGAAATTCTCGGAGCCGCCCGACGTGGTTTGACGTTTACTCCCTCTCTACCTACCAAAAGACTTTTCAACTTTTACTTTCTCTATACCCAAATGGTTAATGTCAGTGTCACAGAGTCTGTACCATAGATTACTAATGTGAATAGATGGGAATTTCAATGGTAAAATTTTGAGTCGATGTGCTGCCATCTGTCAAATTGGAGTGGTACTAAAATTCAATATGGCCGCCACGAGCGTGCTTTTTGAAATTTAACTTTCTACATTGCGTTCGGTTTGCCACGTTCCTTTAACTCCTTTAACACTTTTAACTCCAAACGACTCTTTTAGCGTTCGGTTTAGTCCGATTAGTGACAGTTTAACACGCTTAAATGTCATTTAAAAGCACCCTAAAATTTGTCCCGCTCCAGCCCCTGACTGACCGAACTCGCCTCTAGTAGCGCAAAAATGTAATGAAGAAAATCAAATAAAGCAAAAAAATTGGAAAAATATTTGACTAGTTTTAAATCATAAAACAACCATATTGGCTGTTTTGTGATTTGAAATTAGTCAAATATTTTGCCAATTTATATCTTTATTTGATTTTACTTCATTATATTTTTGCATTAATTTCAAACTTGAAATAAAATGCAATTTATTTTATTTTTTTTTTATTACATTAAATTAACGCCGCATCATATAATTTGTCTATTTAAACATGGAAATACTCAAACAAATATGCATTTACACCATTTAAATAATTAAATATTTATAAAACAAACCTATCAAAAATGTTTTCTGTAACAAAATCAGCATATATAAGTGCTCAAGACCTTTATAAAAGTTTTGCGACTTGGAGTGGCAAATAAGTTTAAAAAAATTGAAGTTGAAGCATCATCCTTTTTTACTATCCAGGAAAATTTGAATGTGGATAAAATTTGCCATATGGTTATTGAGTCGACTGGTTAGGTTGAGGAGCATTTCTTCATCCGATAATTGTTTTCATGATTCATTTATACAGCACTTGTAGTTATCAAATTTGTATTTATCATGTGGGCACTGTGATAAATGAATTTAACTTTTGAGCATAAATTAAACTTACACACGTTTGGACCCTTAAAGATTTTAGGGTCTTTTCTTGTTTGATGTCAATTGCATTGAATCAATTTTTGATATTGATGGCTGAGGCTCAAATATTTCATCGATTGACAGGGTATTTTGGAGGGCCAACATTTTCTTTACAATAATGATCATTTAAAAACTGAAAACAAAAAGAAATTTAAATAACAAACCAATTATTTTAACACTGAATCAAAAACAAGTTTGTAAATATTACTTACCGTTAGTATCAAACAGTGATGGTGCATTTTTCTTTAAGACACTTATTACAAATTATTTGGATATCCTTAATATGACGACTGCATATTTAATGTGGTATAAATTGCATCACTACCAATATCTGGGAGTGCTTTATTGTTTGTTGCTGACATCCATCTTCCCATCGTTTGAAAACATGCTTAAAATTGGAAAGTGTTGAAAAATAAATCTAGATTCTAGATAAATCAAAATTCAATACACCTTTGTGCACCTTCAAATACAATAGCCATTTTAATTTCTCCAAGTTTGAAGTTTTGACGAGCTGACAACTGACATGACATTTCGATACGAGCGCCATCCCGTTAATTGGAGTGGTACTAAATTACCAACCTCATGTTTTTCCATTTGAGTTACCAGCCCCTGGGGGTCGATTCT